GGGCTGGGCGGCGCGTCCGGCGACTCGCACAGGAAAGCGGACGGCGGAGGGAGGGCGCTGGAGAGAGGGGGATGGGAGAAGGGAGGAAGAGGGAGAAGGAGGGAGAGCGGAGGAACGGAGGAGAGAGGGGCCAGGAGGGAGACGCGAGGGAGGGAGCGCCAGGCAAGCTGCGAGGGGGGAGAGAGGGGGATCGGGGAAGGGGAGGCGCCGTGCGAGTTGGCCGAGCTTGAGGACTAGGGGGCCGGGGCGCGGGGAGGGCTTCGCTGTGGCAGAATAGGGGAGCCCGAGGGCCTAGTGTGGGAGGGCTGGGTAGGAGAGGTTGTAGATTGTGAAGGCAGACAGGAGAAAGGCTGGAGAAGTTTGGGGGCGACACGATTGGTAGCAGAGGTGAGGTGGGAGGAGTTTGGGGGATATTGAAGTGGAGATTTGTATAATAGGGTTAGATTGGAAAGATGGAGGGGCTTGGGATCTTTGGGGCAGTGAGGTGTGTGGCATGGAAAAGTGAAAGAAGCTTAGGGTGGAAGGGTTGGGGAAATATTTTCAGAGAGAATGAGATGGAAGTTTGGGGACTTGGGAAAAACTGAAAAGAAGATATATATAGGAGGATAAGGTTTCTGGAAGATGAATAAAAGGGTTGAGTAAAGAATTCGAGGCTGGTGAAGGAGAAGAAAACCCAGAGGAGATATCTGTGAGTACAGAGAAGTGAAAGCATGAGGAACCTTATGGATGAAGGAGGAGGGACCAGATGCCTATTTCAGGGGAAGACTGGGCTAGGTGTGAAAGGAGGTGGGATGGCTGGATCCTGGAGATGGGAGCTTCCAGTCAGGAGGCTTTCCTTTAGCAGATAAAATGGGGAAGAAGGGGTTAAAATATTGGAAGAAAATAGAGATAACGCCTTTGGTGGCGATATGGAGGGAAAGTCATTGATGGAGAAAGAGAAGAACTTGGAGATGGCAAGAGAGAGAGCTCTGAGGAAAATGACAGAAATGGGGGATGGCAGGTGGGTAAGGAGTATAATAGGAGTGGGACACCGTCTCAGGCCCATCCATCCAATTAATCTCCATCTTCCTTCCCAAGTCTGAAGTTATCACTAATGGTTTCTTAGGTCACCTGAAGGGTGCAGGGTAGACCTAGGTATCATGGTTCCCTCTCCCAATTGTTTATACATAGAGACAGTCCCTACTACAGGCCACAGGTTCTTCCTAACCCTTCCTCCTCCCCTGATCTCTAGGCAGTCTCTGACTCAGTGTGCAGCTATTCCTAGTCTTCAACCATGAAGCCAGCACCCCCACCAGTCTACCATTAGTGCCTTCTTCTTGGCTCCCTCCCTGGCCCCACACCAAGCAGCAACATCTCCTAGGACAAAGGACACCAGAGACACAGGGTGATTTTTGGCAGCTGAAATTGGGAAGGCCAGAAAAAGGGAGGGAGGCAGGCTGGGAAACAGGAAGAACTGGAGCTGGAGTGTGGATTGGGAGTCTTCAGTAGCTTTCCAGATTTGGGGTGGGGGTAGGATACTTGTGGGGCCAGTCCCTCTGGAGACCTAGGGGACCCTGAACTGGCAGGCTTCCACTTATCTTTTGGGAAGAAGGAGGTTGGCTTTGTAGCAACTCCGTAGATTTTTGTCTCACAATTCCTTAGGCCAGACTCAGCCAAATCTGGGAGTATGCAAAAGCTCTAAAGAGATTCCAAAGAACTTGGGAACAAGGAACAGAAGTCAGAATGCTTCCTTGGCCTAGGAATGAATTCCCCTCTGAACTGCCCTAAATCTGTTGGCACTCACTTTACCACCACAGGTCCACCTTTTGCCCCTCCCAGGGCCTCCTAGAAATCAGGCCAGCTCCCTATCTTCCTATGCCCCTTTCTGTCTCTCTTAGGGCACTTTTCTCTGTGGCTCTGTTTTTTTTCTGGCGTCCTCTCTGTCCTCCTTGACTCCAAGGCTGGCTAGGACTGTGGAGTTGGAACCCTTCCTCAGTGCTCTAGGACAGCCTCTACTTCTTCCTTTTATCACCTAACTCCTCCCCTATTCACAGCCATTGCTTTCCCTCTCTTTCTGCACTTCTCAGTTCAGTTCTCCCACTGGGCCCTGGCCCAGGCCCTTCCCAAATCCCTTCCATTCTGAGATTTTCCTTCCTTGTTTTTTTAACCACAAAGGCATGGGACAGGATGGTGACTTATAGGAACCTAAAAGAAAAATGTAGACATAAGGTAAGGGCAAGGATTATGAGAGTGGGAAGAGAAGCCAGGACCTACCCTCTCCAATTCCTTCCCTACCTGGGGGCCAGGCTCACAACTTAACTGCAGGGACTATCACACATACACACCCTCTACCATCCCTTACCCCAGCTCCCTCTCTGGCCCCAGTCCCCCACAACCCACTGGTCTCCAGGCAACGGCACAAAAGGAAAGTGGAGAGAGGGGCCTGGGAGGCCCAAGAAGAGCTAGCTGTAACCCAATCCAACCCTGTACCTGGTGTGGTTCAAGCACGTGTGTGTGTGTGTGTGTGTGTGTGTGTGTGTGTAAGTGTGTAATTGCAATAACTGTTAGAGAGGTAACCTAGCAAGGAGGGAGGGAAGAAAGGACAGGTTAGCAAAGGTAGCTTCAACTATAATAATCCTAGCCAGCCTGGGAGTCACTGAGGAAGATAAGTTTCATGGACCCCAGAGAAAAGAGAGCAAAGAGAAAAGTGGGAGGAGCCCCATGGGACATAAAGGGACCTAGGAGAGAAGTGAAAGATGAGATGCCCATATTGAAATTAAGAGGCACAGGCGAGACGAGGGCAAGAAGCTTTGTTTTGTTTTGGGTACTGGGGATGGAACCCAGGGCCACTCTACACTGAGCTACATCTTCAGACTGTTTTTTATTTTTGGTTTGGTTTGGTACTAGAGATCCAACCTAGGGACATTTTACCACTGAGCTACATCTCCAGTCCTTTTTACTTTGAGACAGGGTCTCCCTAAATTGCTGAGGGTCTTCCTAAATTGCTGAGACTGGCCTCAAACTTGGAGTCTTCCTGCCTCAGCCTCACAGAGTCGCTGGAATTATAGGTGTGTGACATCATGCCCATGCATAAGAAGCTGTTTGAACTGAAAATGGCTGAAGTGTCAGGAATACAGGAATGAGGACAAAGGGACCTGGGCCCTGCTCATACACAACCAGAATCCTCTTTTAGCCTTAAGATGGGCAGAATGGAAGAGGGAGCCTGGGACCAGAACTTAAGAGAGTAGGAGCAGACTGGGAGGCCTGCAAAGGGTACAACCTTGAAATCGCTCCCCACTCCACCTCAGTTGTGTCCAGTAGTGTCCTATAGAACCTTGACTCCCTCTAGTGGCAGTAGCTTTGTGTGTAGACCTTGCCTGAAGGGATGGATGTGCCCGCCCTAGCTCCAAGGTATTGGGAGGGGATTTGTTCCCCAAGGTGGTCCTTAAGTTGAGCAGCTCAATGCTGAGGCTCCATAAGAGCGGGAAGAGTTATAGAGGGCCTCTAGTCACAAATTGACACCCACCTTACAGTCCAACAGCCAAAGAGTATGTTGATTACTTTGAGTTTACTAGAGGGAGGACTATTTCCTTGGGCCTGCCTCTGCACCCCTGCTACTATTTTTCCCTCCCCACACCCCCATTTCGGGGACTGATGGCCATGAAGTCCTGTTCCACTTCAGAATCAGCCAGGATTTGGGGGAGAGAGACGAGTATGGGAGCTGCTCCAGTCTACAGCTTTATCTTTTCTTTGGACAAGGACCCTTAGGGAATTTTTAGACTGCTTTCCCTCCCAAACACACACATAAACATACACACAACTTTTGATACTTCCAATGACTCCTGGGCTCCAGGTTAAGAACCCCTAATTCTGAGTCCTGAGGCCAGGCCTGCTGCTAAAGGCAGGTACAACAACATGGACCCAACCCAGCCAGGTTGGGGTAGGCAGTGCCATCACTTTAGCCAAAATTATTCAGTTGGTCTTCCTCTTTGTGCCCTTCCTAGCTATGCTATCCAGTGTCACCAACTTCCAAGTCTTCCATCTTCTCTTCACTCACATGGAACTGAGTAAGAGTCCTCAGACACAAAAATGCAGTGTGATTCAGACTTTAATGATGGTGCTCATTTCAAGCCACAGAGGTAGTGGCAAGTGTGGAACAGCACAGGGAAGTGAGACGGCACTCTGGTGCAGCTGGAGGAAGAACAGGGAACGCAGGGCTGGAGAGAGATTTTTAGGGGAAGAGTCCCCCCAGGCACAAAGCCCCACTCTGGACCAACCCAGGCTTCAGTCAGTAAACACAACATAACTGATATTAAGGCCCTTTTCTGTTACCTTCCCATTCTAGCATGACCTCCCACCCCAGATCATTATCATATCTATAGCCACATGAAATACAGGTGCATAGTTCTGTGAAGTCAGGCCAGATTTAGGCCTGAGAGTTTCAAGGAAATTATTAATAGGTGAATTAAAAATAAATAAACAAATAAACAAATACACTAAGCTTTGGCTGGGTACAGCCACACACTCAGCACTCCCTACTGCTCAGCACTATGCCCAGTTCATGGCTCATATGCAACATGGAAAAAACACAGAACAGAGCAAAGCATAAGTGACACATGGCCCCCCTCTAAACACCTCAACACACCAACCCTGAAGTTCCTGTCACAGACACTAATCATTCTTTCATGGACCCCCTTAAAGTCCTCATTCTCATTTCCAGTTTATGAGGGAAAATAATAGAAATGAAGAGTGGAAAGTATAGTACTCCAAAGAATGGAGCCCATAGGAGGGAGAACAGAAACAGCAAAGGAGCAGGGAAGCTGACGGGCATCTGGAGCAGGCTAATCAGGGGACTTCTGAGTGCCCTGGGGCTCAGGGTATCAGGGTGAACTATCACAGGTCAGGATAGCAAGAAGGAGGTTCCAGGAGGATGGGACAGAGGGTCCAAGTCTCCAGGCAAGTAAAGGGATCACAGCACACTGGGATTGCGGAAATTGTGTCCAGCGAAGCGAGCTTCGTCCCCCAGCTCTTCTTCAATTCTGAGATGAGCCAGAAAGGAAATGGTCAGGGAAGCAGGAGGGACCTGCATGTCTTTCCAGGAGTTCCCTCTAGCCTCTGCCTTCCTTCATTCCACCTATTTTTGAGGCCTGTCCCACAGCCAGCATTTCTTGGCTTTCCCATGTGACTTCAGTGGCCTACCAATCAGGCCATCAGTAAACCAATCCAGCAAAGACAAATATTTGCTATACATCTGCTGTCATGGGTTTTGTCTTGTTTAGTTTGGTTTGGTTTTTAGGACTGGGGATTGAACCAGGGGGTTCTATCAGTGAGCTACATCCACAGCATTTTTGTTTGTTTATTTTGGTACTAGGGATTGAGTCCAGCGCTTAACCACTGAGCCACATCCCCTGCCCTTTTTATATTTTGTTTAGAGACAGAGTCTCACTAAGTTGCTTAGGGCTTCCCTAAGTTGTCTGAGGCTGGGTGTGAACTTGGGATCCTCTTGCCTTAGCCTCCCAAGTTGCTGGGATTACAGGCATGTGCCAGTGGACCTGGCCATCCCCAACCTTTTTTATATTTTATTTTGAGACCAGGATCTCACTAAGTTGCTAAAGCTGTCCCTGAACTTGAGGACTTCTACTGTTAATTCAGGTCTTAGATGCTGGGCAATCGTGGTTTTTAACTCTCTGTGACCTTGGGCTCCCTTTCCCTGGAGACCCTCACCTCATGAGCTGGTTGTACTTAGCCAGACGCTCAGATCGGCATGGGGCACCAGTCTTGATCTGAAACATTCCAAAAGATATGCAGATTAGCTCAGCAGCTACCCCTTCACTGCTAAAAAGAAACCTCTTATGCATACTAGGTAAGTACTCCTAGTACTTACCTAGTACTATATATATATATATATATATATATATAGATGAAGCTATACCCCATCCCTGAAACTTCTACTTTTGTGGGGTAGGAGGGCACCAGGGATTGAACTCAGGGGCTCTCAACCACTGAGCTATATTCCCAGCCCTATTTTGTATTTCATTTAGAGACAGGGTCTCACTGAGTTGCTTAGCACCTCCCGGTTGCTGAGGCTAGCTTTGAACTTGTGATCCTCCTGCTTCAGCCTCCTAAGCCACAAAACCTCTACTCTTGAAATTTCCCTGACACCCTCAAACACCTGGAGAGACCCACCTGAGCCTATATCCCATCAATCCCACAAAGATCTCCCTCCAACCTACATGCTGTCCCCACTCACCTGGCCTGTGCACAGCCCCACCACCAGGTCAGCAATGAATGTGTCCTCAGTCTCTCCTGAGCGATGACTCACCATGACCCCCCAGCCATTCTCCTGGGCCAGCTTGCACCTGTGTCCACATATCAACACTGATCCCCAGCCAAGCCCCACACAATGGTCATTCTCTCCCACTCCCAACCTTAGTCTATGTCAAGAAACACCTGGAGGGAAGTGTCTGGGAAAGGAGCAGAGAGAATCTGGGGTGAAGAGAGCAGGATCAGACCAGGAGCATTTGGGATCCTATGAAAACAGGGGTCAAGTAGAGGGCCAGTAGGCACTCACGCTTGGATGGCTTCAGTGACTGAGCCGATCTGGTTGACCTTCAGCAGCAGACAGTTGCAAGCCTTTTCTTCTACCGCCCGCTCAATACGCTTTGGGTTGGTCACTGTCAGGTCATCACCCACAATCTGGATCCCTACATTGGCTGTGAACTTGGACCAGGCTGCCCAATCATCCTGGTCAAATGGATCCTCAATGGAGACCACTGCAGAAGGAGTGATGAGGGGACTGTTGATCTTCCCCTGGTCTCTGCTTCAGGTAGGGAGACCCCACTTTGATCCTCTGAAATGTACAGGTCCCCTGGCTAACTAAGCCTGCTCATCTTTCTCCCCTACCCTTCACTAAAACAAGCCTGTCCTGATTCCTATCCCGATTTTTATTTCATAAAACCTTCCCACAACCTCCCATTGTATTTTCCCATTCTCACTGCCAAGAAGCCCTTTGTTATTACTCATCTAAATTTTCCTTCTTCAATTGATGTCTACTTTCTCTTACTCTGTCTCAGGAAGATGGAATCCACCTGCCCTTCACCCTAGGATAAAAGCCCTTGGAAGACTAGGAGAGGATAATTCAGTCCCTCCTCAGCCTCTTCTCCATTCAGACATCAGTCCTGGCTCCATTAAGCATCCAGTTTCATCAATCAAACAGACTGAAAGGTGCTAGTTCCCTGCTAGGTCATTCACTCTCTCATCATCCTTGTTTCCTTCCAGAATCCTCCCCATGATCCTAGTAGCTTTTTTTTTTTTTTTTTTTTTTGTCCTGGGGATTGAACCCAGGGGTGCTTAACCACTGAGCCACATCCCCAGCCCTTTTTATATTTTATTGTGAGACAGGGTCTCACTAAGTTGCTTAGGATGTTACTAAATTTCTTAGGCTGTCCTTGATCTTAAAATCCTTCTACCTCAGCCTCCCAAGTTGCTGGGATTAACTGGCATGCACCACTGTGCCAGCTTCCTAGTAGCTTTTAGAGCCCACAACTTTAATCAGGATCCAAAGTAGAACAGACTCATCACAGGTACCTGAACATTAGCACAACAAAGCCAGTCTGCCAAGGCTCCCTTACTCTATCCTTAATTCTCAAGTTCCTCTACCTGGCACCTGAGTCGGAACCATTAAGTCCAGAGTTGCCCTTACATATTCCTGTCTGGCCCCTGCTCCTCCCCCTGCCCTCTCTCCCACACCCTTTTTTCTCACCAGGATAGTCCCTGACAAAGTCTTGGTAGAGTGCCCCCAGCTGGTCCCCAGTGATGTATCTGGAAGGATCAGCTGGAGACTTGAAGTCCAAGTCATATTTGCCATCTCTATAAAACTCTGAGGCAGCAACATCCATGCCAATGACAATCTTTTCTGTGTAGCCAGCCTTGTCGATGGCTTCCTTCACCAGCTCCAAGGCTAGAGATGGAATACAATGAGATTATATGTAGGAGGGAGGGAAGAAGGAGAGAAAAATTCTAAGTAGAAGTAAAGGACTGTTGCTGGGGAGGTGTGGGTAAGGTGGTTATGTGGATTGTCTCTAGGTCTGGGAGAAGTCATCTTCTAGGACAGAGAAATGGCATTATTATGAATAGTTGTTCTAAATGGTATTACTATGAATAGTTGTTCTTTTTTAAAAATATTTTTTAGTGGTCAATGGACCTTTATTTTGTTTATTTATATGCAGTGCTGAGAATCAAACCCAGTGCCTCACTCATGCTAGGCAAGTGCTCTACCACTGAGCTACAACCCCAGCCCCAAATAGTTGTTCTTTATTGATATCACATCACCTAAGTACTTTATGGATATGATCTCATTTTTTTATATTTATTTTTTAGTTGTAGTTGGACACAATATCTTTATTTTGTTTATTCATTTTTATGTGGTGCCAAGGATCGTACCCAGGGCCTCGCACGTGCTAGGTAAGCGCCTACCACTAAGCCACAATCCCAGCACCTAGATATAATCTCATTTAATCCTCACAATGATGTTATGAGGTATAAAGTGTTATTATTTCCATTTTATAGATAAGGAAAAGGAAGCACAGAGAAGTTAAGAAAGAAAGATCACGGGCTGGTGATGTGGCTCAAGCAGTAGCGCGCTCGCCTGGTATGCGTGCGACCCGGGTTCGATCCTCAGCACCACATACCAACAAAGATGTTGTGTCTGCCAAGAACTTAAAAATAAATATTAAAAAAAAAAAAAAAGAAAGATCACTACTGTATAACTTTTCAAGTCAAGGTTCAAATAAATTCAAGCAATTTGGTCCCAGAAACTTAACTCTTCTTTCTCTTTCCTTTGTTTTTCTATTTTGCAGTGCTGGAGATGAAACCTAGGTCTCCAGTATAATTAGGTGAATGTTCTACCATTGACCTACACCTTCAGCCCAGAAATTAACTCTTAATCACTACCTATAACTGAACCACAATACAGCGTCTCTCAGAGCACAGAAAGATTTAGGGATCCTAGAGGCCTAAAAGGCTGGGGTAAGGATGGGACAGATTTGGAATGGGCTCTCTGGAATATGATATCTCATCAAACTGAGACTCCTATGATGTTAAAGAATGAGACGGACCCAAGATTACCTAGATCATCTCCCATTGTTCTCAGGGGCTGCTGTGAGAACTTACAGATACTAACAGATCTAGCTAAGCAGGTAAAAGACTGTTCTGTGTCTGCATGTGAACTTGGCAGACCCCCAGGAACCCACCCCAAGGGTTGGTACCTCTTGAGGTTTATAGGAGTTTCAAAGACCCTTCACCCACGTTCCTCAGAATTCCTAAAGTGGGGGCCCTTCTATCCTGATGTCCTAGGGTAGAATGAGCCTTTAAGCTGGAAGTGGGGCTTCTGACCTCACCTTCACTGTTTTCCAGGATATTGGGGGCAAAACCACCTTCATCACCCACATTTGTGGCATCCTTGCCATACTTGTCCTTGATGACCCCCTTAAGGGTATGGTAGACTTCTGCCCCAAGGCGCATGGCATCCCGAAAGCTCTCAGCACCCACTGGGAGGATCATGAACTCCTGCATGGCCAGCTTGTTTCCAGCATGAGAGCCACCATTGATCACATTGAAGGCCTAGGGAGCCACAGAAGATAGTCAAACAGCCCTTCCCCCCTGCCCCTGGGAATATAACCCAGATCACGAGACTGAGTCTCATGTCCCCATCCCTTCTCATTAGTTTCTCCATTGTTTCTCATGAGGTTTCCCGCTCCCTCCCTTCCACCCCTGAGAATGGTGCTGGCAAAGTTCAGTGCTCACCGGCACAGGCAGGATGAGGTCTGAGTTCCCAGCCAGTTGAGCAATATGACGATACAGGGGCAATTCCCTCTCAGCTGCCCCTGCCTTACAAATGGCCAAGGACACACCCAGGATGGCATTGGCCCCAAACTTGGCTGGAAGATTAAAGAAGAAGTCTCTGAGCAAAAATGTTCCTTTTTCTTCTAGCCCCAGACTTACCTATAATCCCCAAAAAGAGCCAGGAAAAGAGACCCCTCTCCTCTCCCCACCCCAGTGACATCCCACCCATTCTCTCCTGCAAATGGCAGGGCAGAGGGAGGAAGTGGAAAGGAGGGTGATAGAAAGGGCAGAAAGCCACACCCCTTTTAAACTCCCCCAGACTATCTAGGCCAACTCCCTCCACTTTATGCTACAAAGAAATTCTTCTTCTGTCTAATGTTACTCCTTCCCACTGCAGTGGCTTTGGGAAAAATATGGAAGAAGTCCTCTGATGGTCTCTGAGCCCCTCAGCAGAGATTCCTTTAGTTCCTGTGTATTTCACCATTATGCCCACTTTCTCCCAACCCCTACTTACATTTGTTCTCAGTCCCATCCAACTCCAGCATCAGGTTGTCCAGTTTCTCTTGCTCCACCACAGAGAGACCCTGTGGGCACAGCCCCCATTACGCATGGCCAGGATAGAGGCTGGGCCCTAGGGTAGAGGGTCCCCCCATTCACCCAGGCTCTCATCTGGCCAGCATCCAACCAGGTCTCTGTGACAGCAGCTTGCTAGCATTATGGGATATGAACTCCCATAGAAGTAGGGGACAATAAGAACCCTTTCCCACCCTTCCCCTTGTAACCATGATTCCTAAAAAGTGGGTCTTTCCCTCCCCATCCTCCTCCCCATCCAGAATTCCTTCCAGGATACTGGTGCTGCCATCCCTAGCAAACAGCGGGCCTCACTGAGCTGATGAGAGCTGGTGCAATGGTGGTGTTGATGTGATCCACTGCCTTCAGGACACCTAGGAAGAGGAAGAGAGGCTAGACTGGGTCAGAGTCAGGCCCTAGAAAATAGGAGGAGGGGAAGGCAAGCTAGGAAAGAGTTGGCAAGGGTGTGAGGTAAGGGTATAAGGCTGAGGAGTGGCAGAGCCTATAAAAGAGAAAGGGCCTCACCTTTGCCTAAATAACGCTGTTTGTCCCCATCCCTCAACTCCAGAGCCTCATAGATGCCAGTGGAGGCTCCACTGGGGACTGCAGCCCGGAAAAGACCTGGAGAAGACACAGAATGAGGAGGGAGGGAGAAAGACACTATAGGGACAGGGATTCCTTCAGCCTTCAGTCCTGATCTTAAAATTCTGCTTGCTACATCCAGTCCTCTCCCCATACTGCTCCCTAACACTACACACACCCACCCACCCACACACAGCCAGCTGCACAAATAGTGGCTCCTCATCCACCCAACAGAGGCCCACAGGCGCAAGTGGAAGCCACAGAAATGAAGCTATGCTAGGAAGCACACCACACACACACACACACACACACACACACACACACACACACACCCCTTCACCCACATTCCTCAGAATTCCTAAAGTGGGGGCCCTTCTATCCTGATGTCCTAGGATAGAATGAGTCTTTAAGCTGGAAGTGAGGCTGCATACAAGTAGATATGTAGAGGCAGGGCATGTCGCACAGTAAACTAGAACATAGACCTGGCTCCCCTAGACAAGGAGGTTCAACTCCACAATCCAGCTTGGGAGCCTGGCTCTAGAACCCATTCCTTCAGGGTATCAGGGAAGGGCTCCCAACCCAAACCAGACCTAGTACATTACCTTTGGCAGTATGCAGATCCACTTCCACAGTGGGATTCCCACGGGAGTCCAGGATCTCCCGAGCCCAGATCTTCTCTATGGACATGATGGCTGGGATCTCCTAGGATGAAAGGGAAGAAAGGAGAAGATAGGAGGCTTAGAGGGGTGGAGCCTCATATAAGTGGGCGGGGCCATAGGCTGGGAGGGATGAGAAAGAGGTTACTGCAGTGGGTGGGGGGTGGGGAGGAGCTGGCTGCAGTCAGAGGCTATAGAAGAGGTACCCCCCTCCCGCCATAGAGAGGAGAAGGTCAATGCAGTGGGGAAGGGGAGGTCACTGCAGACGGAGGCGGGGTGCGATCAAAAAAGAAGATGGGATAACTCCGCAGTGAATGGAGGAGGGACAAGACAGTGGTGCCCTCGCCCCTCGGCAGCTTCTCTGGCCGGTGGGGTTCCCCCAGATATTCCCAGAGCAGAATGGCTGCCAGGCTGGCATTTTTCCTCAGAGGAAGGAAAGTGGGTTGTCTGCGCAACCTCTCCTGAAAGAGTCCGCATCCTACCCATACTTAACACTCCAGGGTCCCAACCTCTCTTCCAAACGCGAGTCCCTCTTCCTGAGAAACGTGCAGTAGAGGAAGGGGGTGGGGGTGGGGCTCCAGTCCCTGGGGGTTGCAGCTGAGTGGGAAAGCATGAGACCAAATGGGGTAGTAGAAGCTAGGCCTACTCTCTCCCCATTCCCCAAATTCCCCACTCCTTCCATAGAGCTGAGAAAAGGAAATGTAAAAGGAGAGGGGCTACGTGGGAAAGGAGTGGGAGAGAGGGCAGTCTAGAGGAAGTCTGGGGGAGCTGAGGAAGGGTGAGAGAAGACATTTCCCCAACCTCAAAGCAAAAAAAGACGTGTCAGAATAAAATGCACAAAGCGGAGACGCCGAACTTAAGAAACAAATCGGCTGGACACGAAGCGCGGGGAAAGAAGCAGGCAAGGGTGAAGAAACGCGCAGTTAGAAGCAGGTGCAGAGAGGCTAGTTCCTAAACGAGGGAGCGAAAACCTGAAAGCCAGAGAGGAGAGGTCGGCGAAGGCGGGGGATGGAAGGCGCCAGGGAGCGCGGGTGAAGAGCAGGTGCGCAGCGCCACCGGCAGAGATGCACGAAAGACGAGGGAGGAGGAAGGGAACACGCATAAGGAAAGGGAGCCAGAGGGGCGCCGGCCCGACCAGGGCTTCACCTCGGAGCTGCAGACTCAGCTGGTGGCGATGGCAGTGGCGGTGGCGAAGGCGCAAAGAGAGCGGGAGTGGCAGCAGCAGAGGCGGCTGCGGCTCCCCA